GACCAATATATGCTAAAATATTTTCAAAATTTGACATGAAATCGAGATATTATCAAATATCTGTAAAAGAAGAAGATAGATATAAAACAGCTTTTGTAGTACCTTTTGGGCATTATGAATAGAATTTTATGCCACAAGGATTAAAAATGCTCCTAGTGAGTTCTAAGAAATTATGAATAATATTTTTTATCCATATATAGAGTTTTTTATTGTTTATGTAGATAATGTATTAATATTTAAAAAAAATATTTCTCAACATATACAACATCTTAATAAATTTATAGAATTAATAAAAGAAAAAGGATTAGTTGTATCAGCAAAGAAAATGAAAATTTTCCAAGAAAATATTAGGTTTTTAGGATATGAAATATATCAAGGAAAGATTACTCCAATACAGAGGTTAATAGAATTTGCAAACAAACTTTTAGATGAAATAAAAGAAAAACAAAAGTTACAAAGATTTCTTAGATATTTAAATTATATAGCAGATTGTATGCCAAATATTAGAACAATATATGCACCATTGTATAAAAGATTATTAACATGTCCTCTTGCATGGGATATAGAAATGACTAATGTTGTCAACAAATAAAAAATTTAGTACAAACTCTTCCCTATTTAGGAATTCTTGATCCAAAAGTCTTTTTAATAGTAGAAATAGATGCCTCAGATTTAGGATATAGGGGTGTGTTAAAACAAAAAATACAAGAAAAAGAACAAATAGTTCGATACCATTTGGGAATATGGCATCCTACACAACAAAAATATTCTACTGTAAAAAAAATAAATTTTATCAATTATTTTATGTTTGCAAAAATTTCAAGATGACTTATTTAACAAAAAATTTCTAATCAGAATTGATTGTAAATCAGCCCCTTTCGTTTTACAAAAAGATGTCAAGAATATAGTTTCAAAGCATATCTTTGCCAAGTGGCAAGCTTTACTATCTAATTTCGATTTTGACATAGAACATATTAAAGGAAATAAAAATTATTTACCATATTATCTTAAAAGGAATTTTTACAAGATAAATATGTCCAAAATAACTAGTTCCCATTATGGTACTCCAAAAAAGAAGGAGGACTCAAAGTCTCCCTCTCCTCCTACTCCTTCAAAACATAAACCAGAAAAAGGGGAAAAGGTGATGACAGCCTTACAAGCTCTACAAACTTCAACTCAATCTACTAAACCAATTACTTCTTCAGAAATTATACAATCAGCTAATAAATTTACAGTACTAGGATCTCTAAGTGTGACAAAGCAAATACCCCTAGAAAAATAATACGTTGAAAAGGAAGGATGTATTCCAATAATGGCCATAGAACCAGAATGATTTTCATTGCCTAGAAATGAAATAGCAAAAAAGATCTTCCCTCAAAATTGTCATGTTATCCCCTCTTTAACACAACAAAGGAGGGAATTTTATGAGCTTATTTTGGCAGATATCCATTCCATTGAGCTAACTCATCAGCGAGATTAGCAAACTCAAGAAATAATATTTTCAAAGTTTAAATAAACAAGATATTAACAATACAGGATTGGGGTTGTCCCTTTTTCCATTACAAGTTGTTTACAATCAATTATCAGTCAGCACAATATAATTTGATTATATCAATGCTTGGAGAAATATAATGTATTTACAGCCAGCAACTCATTCTTAGTTTATTTGGTTTCGAAAAGGAATTTCTCTTAAATTTCCAAGATGGTTTCATTATTGGTTCCATGATTTTGGACCAACTTTACAAATATTTCCTAAAACAGCCAAGACCTTGTTACAATATTTCATCAAAAACAATCATTTTACTCCAGAATGTCAATTAATATCTTTCATAGCAAGTTTTGGAGTAACTTGGATTACAATATGGAAATATGACTCAGCTAAGCCAGAAGAAAAGCTAACAATACAAATGTTAGTCAGAACTGTCAAAATAAAATGGTGGAATAAGTTTAATATTGACTTATTCAATACACAAAAGATAGACCATTGGTTGATCCAGCATGGACAAACTCCAAAGAAAAATATAGGAACAGTTACTGGTGAAAAAGCTAATCAAGAGTTCATTGCTCAAAAAACTCAAATATTGATAAAATTATCTACAACAAGAAATGAACAGGAATTTAATAACATTATGGCTTTATTATCTCCCACCAATACTGATAATAATTCAGAAGATAACAGTCCTAATTTACTAGAAGATTATGAAGATTTAGCTGATAATAATGAAGATGATTGCTACAGGATTTATTTACCTTTTCATCAAAGATAAAGAAGAGAAGACAATAGAGAAAAGCAGAGACAAGACTGCACTAAAAAGCAAAGAAGAGAAGACAATAAAAAAAAGTAAAGACAAGACTACACCAGAAAAAAAATTGAATAATAAGACAAGAAATAACCAAAAGTAAACAAGACATGACAATACAATAGTACAAGAAATAAGGAGGAATCCTATAATAGGAGTAAGAACTTCTATAAAAAGAAGATCATTTCTCATTAGAAAGTACGCCAAAATATAATAGCCTCTTATTCTCTCAATATTTCTTAGATTTCAAGTTTTGTACTCTTTAGATCTTAACCCTTGTACTCTTCCAATATCCTTACAATATCTCATTATCAAACTTTCAACAAGTTTCAATAAGAAGAACAATATTTCTGTAAGTTCTTTTATTTATCTTTAACTATTTTGCTCATTTTTTATACAAAATATTTAAATCAGAATATTGTTGTGCTCGATCTTTTCTATATATATATATATATATATATATATATATATATATAGAGTGATCTATGATATAAAAAAAACTAATGAAATTACAACAAAAACCTATGATCGAGTACCTTGTGTTTTTGGTGAAGACAGACTGAGTTTGGGTCAACCTGCTTTCAAGAACTTTCTTTTAAATGGACGTAGCCCATGAGCCAACCAACTAAAAAACTTTAATCATTTTCCAAATTCCAGGCCTATCAAGACCAAAAGAAAAAAAAAAAAAAAGACGAACGAAAACAAGACTGGGAAATTTCCCAAGTGACATTGACAGGACCAACATCAACAAAAAGTAAAATTGTTTTGGATTTGTCTTTCGTTTGAACATGTTGATCCACACTCTCATTTTCTATTCCGTAGCTCTAGTTAGACTCAGAAAATTATGTTTAATATAGTCAGGACCACACCAACCACTATAAATTTGTCGCATTGGCTACCCTTGCGTCACCAGTGTTATAAATAAATTGATTAGTACTGCCCTGTGGCTGTGAAGGACCCAGGTAGTCATGGCAAAATTTTCACTAGTTTTTTTTTTCTTTTAAATACTAATATTTATTTTTATACAGTAATTAATTAGTTTATTTTTTAAAATAAAAATAAAAAAGATGGTTGCAACATTTATATGTAAACATGGTACAAGAGACAATTTGGAGTGGTTGTCATTTTTAAAGCTTGTTTAAACTCGATATTCAAGGACATTTCGAGTGTTTTTTTCATTATTATTCAAATTGATTTGTTTAATTTGCTTATAAAAAAAAGTAGGTATGGAAGACTATGATTTTCTTAATCACCGCTTAATGATTTCTGGGTAATTTCCATTCAACTATTTAGTTTACTAAGAACTATAAACAAGTCAACTGGCTTAGCTCTTTTAAGAAATACATATATAACATAATGTTGAGGAAAACAACCAATAATAAAGTTAGTTGGAAAGCTTCCTAGTTATTTTCATGATCGTGGTTTCTCTTACATTTTTTACTATTATTAAAATAAAGACCTATATTATTTTAATCATATGAATATTAATTTACTTAGTTTCATTTTTAGTCATATACTAAGGTAAGAAAAAGTCTACATGATCTGACCAAAAATTGCCCGTTCAGAAACAGTAGATACTAAATAGATTTTTTTTTAGTATATTATCCTACTATATAATATCACAATTTTTTGCTTTCCTGCTTTTGAGGGCTTCTTTGGATTACGTAAAAAAGTACTTAAGTGAAATGTAATTTTGTTTTCACGTTATGAAAATGAACTTTTAACATTGGAAACATATAACTAATCACATCTTTTATGCTTAAGAAGATATAATAAGAAAATTATAGTTTTTTTTTTTCATTTGTGCTTTTTCTCATTTATCATTGAAACAGTTTTTAAAATTATTCACATGAGACCAACCAAAGGAAGGTGGAAAGGAAAAAAAAAAAGTACATAGTAGGACTAGGAAATATAGTTAGAGATTAAAACCCTACTTTCTGTAATGTATCAGAATTTTATCATCTAATTATCATATAATTTAATGTATTTTTAGCAATTAAAAATAAACGAACGTGTTAAATCTTTCTTAATTCCTAGAAGAATGTTCTTAATTGATTCACTGAAAAATGAATTACAATAGTATTGTTTTATACAAGTATTCAGAATCAACCATACAAATTGTCTATAGGATTGAGAAATAACTAACAGTGAATCAAAGAAGATGTGCCAAGTGTACTACTCTAAATGACTATCCTGTAACAACTTGTAAATGAGTAATTAAATATAAAAAAATTCAATCAAAGATGATTATTAATTGGTAATATTAATTAATATTCTTTGTACACCAGCTGCGTTTACTAAATGAGAAATGATCTTGTGAAGCGCAGACTTAAAAAGCATTAGTTTAATAAATAGCACATGAAAAATTGTAAGACATTGATTAAAAACAAAAACAACATTTATATTCATCATTTCCGAACATGCGCTCGCCACCCAATACATTTAAAATGTAATAAAGAGCATGTGGATCACGCAACGCAGGTAATAATTCCCTCGGTGCCGCGAGATGGGCTAATATTTTATGGGAAGAAAACTTTAAACATTTTTAAAGAAAAAAAATAGGTCTATCTTACTGGACTGTTTTGCATTCTGATAAAATGTATGATAGAGTTAAATTTGCTAAAACCTCCAAAATTTAATATTTTATTCGTTTAGACATTATCTTTATAAATATAAATTAATTAATTTTGGGCGGCCTTGTGAACTCTAATATTTTTCAATACTTTTCTCTCTATAAATAGTGAAGGTTCACCACTCACTTTATAGTTGAATCATTGATTTCTTCATTGCTTTGGAGGAGGCAACAGAGTGGTGGATAAGAGAGTGTTGTTGGTGGGTGGGTTGCAATTCCTTCCTCTAATAGCTCTCACTGTGCACTATGGCTCAGACTACACCGAATCACACACTCACCGTATCTGGCTGGGCAGCTCATGATCCTTCTGGCAAGATTACTCCATACACCTTCAAAAGAAGGTACTAATTGATTTCACTATCCATTTTTATTTGTTTATTTTGGTGAAATATTGAGAAAAGAAAACCATGAATTTGTTTGTGAATAAATTTGATTAAACCCAGGGAGAATGGCCCTCACGATGTGAGCATAAAGATATTGTACTGTGGGATTTGCCACACAGATATCCACCACGTTAAAAATGACTGGGGCATCACTATGTATCCTGTGGTACCTGGGTAATTTTCCATACTCTGTTTCTCTCTGTCCTCTCAATTTCTTCAACATATGCACAAAGTTAACTATTGTATTGTGTAGGCACGAGATTGTTGGAGAGATTACTAAGGTGGGGAGTGATGTGAAGGGGTTCAATGAAGGAGACAGAGTGGGTGTGGGGTGTTTGGCAGCCACGTGTTTGGACTGTGAGCAGTGCAAGAACGATCAGGAAAACTATTGCGAAAAGTTACAATTCACTTACAACGGCATTTTCTGGGATGGCAGCATCACTTATGGTGGCTACTCCGAAACGCTCGTCGCTGATTACAGGTTCCTTATAGTTCTCTCTTTTATTGTAGGGATTATACTAGATCCCACTCATGCTTGTTCTTTCAGAATATGGTTTCTATTTTAATCTCATACTGATGAATAAGTTCATAATTTTGTTGATCAATACCTTCATAGTAATATTCATGGACGAATAATTTAGTTATTATATTACATGGTTTAAGTGTTTTAAAATATATATTAGGTGATGTTTCCATTTTTATAATAATAAATAATTTAATTAAATTTTTTATTAAACTTAATTAATCAGTTATACAATCAAATATAACAATAGATCTTTATTTAATCAAAAATATATTTTTTTAATTTAACATTAAATATTACGAATGGGTGGAATTATTTTATTAATAATCATTTAACTTGGAAGTACTTTTTTTTTCGGAGTAAGATGAACACGCAACAGAAGACAGCGTTGCTTTTAAAGTAATTGCAGTGGTTGTTGAAGAGACTCGTTATTGAAGTTTTTGGTTGATTTTTTAGATATTTTTTTTTTAACAACTATACGGAGTACCCTTTCTACTCCTTATTTTAAGTTTTTTTTATTATTAAATTAAATAATTAGGATTTTTTTAAAAATTATTTAGTTGAACTTATATAAAAGGTTAAAATTGTTAATTTTTTATTTCTAGTTTTTTTTATATCTAAGTTATTGCTCTAATATTCTGTTAATTTTAAGATAGTAATACTATTGACACAATTCATTATTATAGAAAAAGTAAAAAAGAAAGATACATGAAACTATAGAATAATTAAACATTATGTGATTCGAAATTTGATGTAGATTTTTTTATTTATGTTTTCTAAATTTTATATAGTGACTTGAACAAAGGCTTAACAAAAAAGATGTTTACAGTTAAACTTATAAAATATTTTTAATTGCTTAAAAAGTATATATTAAATAAAATATATATTTTTCCCCAAAATCTAAAAGTAATGAATGCTCTATTTATGAGGCCGGCCAACCGGGAGACTTATCCTTTGGAAAGCTTTTCAATCTACATTTCTTGCGATTTGAATATTATATGATCAGAGGCTATCACAGAAATGGACAAAATTTAAGTGATGTTATTTTGTTTATTAATTATAAAATTTTATTTTAATAATATGTGATAGCATTAAATATCATTTTTTTATATTTAGTCTTATTTATAAAAAAAGAATTAATAGGTACATTTTGTGGTATTCTAATTTTTTTTATGAATATCTTATCCAAAAAATTTAGACTAAAAAAAAAGAGACAGTGTTAAGTTAAAAAAATTTATTATATATAATTTATTTAAAGTTATATTATTTATATTATTTGCTATATAATCTTATTATATTATATTATATATATATATATTTAATTTCTTATTTTATTTTTTTATAAATTTTTAAAAATTTTATTTTTTAAATAAAAATTAATTATAACATAATATATTAATATAATAATTAAATATTAATATAATATTATTTTTTAATAATTTTAGTTAGTTTAATTTTGATTGTATTTTAATTTTATTCAAAAATTTAATCATTCTCTAGCTCATTTAAATATAAAAAATATAATAATTTATTATTAAATAAATTTAATATAAATTATATCTTATTTAAAACTAAAACGTTATAAGAAAATATAAAAAAATAAAATAAAAATTAAATATACATAATAATAAAATTATATAACAAATAATATAAATAATATAATTTTAAATAAATTATATATAACAATTTTTATTACTTGATATGCATTTTTTTTATTGATCTAAATTTTTTGAATATACCTAAAATTTTTTTACAAAAACAAAGCACACACCTCATTAATGTTCTAATCTGAATTCAATTAATTTTCTAAAGATTATAAAAATTGAATATGAAGGTATGTGGTACACATTCCGGCAAACCTACCATTGGATGCAACAGCACCTCTACTCTGTGCGGGTATAACAGTGTTCAGTCCATTGAAAGACCACGATTTGGTAGCAACACCGGGGAAAAAGATTGGGGTAGTTGGTTTGGGAGGCCTTGGACATATAGCAGTCAAATTTGGCAAGGCATTTGGCCACCATGTTACCGTCATCAGCACTTCGCCCTCCAAAGAAGCTGAAGCTAAGGAGCGTTTGGGTGCTGATGATTTCATAATCAGCTCTAACCCTAAACAATTACAGGTTTGCTAACTCTTTTCACATTCAACTTTTTATTATCTGTCAATATGGATCAAATTCGTCAAAATTTTGCCATCACCATGTGGTCCAAAAGCAAAACTAAAGCCACTGAAATTTGGTTTGATGCATTTGGGCTTGGGCTAAAATGGGCCACTGAAATTTAGTTTATTCTGAGATGACAGGCTGCAAGGAAAAGCCTAGATTTTATATTGGACACTGTATCCGCAGAGCACTCTCTTTTGACTGTCTTGGAATTGCTCAAAGTAAATGGGACCTTATTTATCGTGGGGGCACCGGACAAGCCATTCCAGTTGCCTGCTTTCCCATTGTTATTTGGTACTAATATTAACCTCCACTCCCCTTGTGCATTTCCTATTTAATTAAAAAAAATGTTGACTTTTAACTGTTAGAGTTTAGTTTAAGTACTTAAAAATAATAATTTATCATGTTTTAGTAATTAAATATACTGAAGTTAACAGTAAGTGGATTTATTAAAAAAAGAAATAATTTGATAAGATGATCGATTAACATTTGTGACAGGAAAAAGATCGGTGAAAGGTGGCATCATTGGAGGAATAAAAGAGACGCAGGAAATGTTGGACGTTTGCGGGAAGTACAATATCACGAGCGACATTGAGTTAGTTACGCCAGACAGAATCAATGAGGCTTTGGAGCGCCTTGCTAAGAATGATGTTCGCTACCGTTTCGTCATTGACATTGCTGGCAGTTCAAAGATCTAGACTTCAATTGGGGTTCTATTTTAAGTATCAAATTGTTATTCAATATTTACTATTTGTGAGACCAAATTTTAAAAACCCCCACGACCAAGTTTGAAGCTTTCATGGACTTGGTCCAACTTCCTGTCTTGTTTCTAATACCATTGGTGTCTTTACTTCCTGTAATACTCTCCCTGTTATTACAATGTAATATTTTTTTTATGGCTTACCAGAAGACAATAAAAAGTCTAGTGATTGGTTTTAAATTCTCTGACAATTACTTTTAATTGATTAAATTCATAATAATTTTGTTTGAATAACTATACTATGAATCTAGATTCATTTCAGTTTACGAAAAAATTGGACAGTGCAGTTTTACTTTTAATCATAAATTTAAATTCGTTTTAATTTACACGAGAATTGAACGTTTCAGTTTTTACTTTCATTTAAACAAAAATAAAATTCAACTGCTCAATTTCTGTTCAAAAATTGTACGGAAATTGAAATGACCTATTTCTCTTTACCGTATACTTATACAAAGATAGGTTAAGTTTAGACAATTTGATATAATATATTAAATTTAAATAATAAGTTGAATAAAATAAAAAATAAATTAAATATTTAATGTAAAAAAATCACATAACTCTAAAATTTTCATTACAAAATCTAAGCTTAAATTTATGATATAGAAGTATATTTCACTTGCATTTTATATCAATATTAACATAATTAAATAGTATATCTTTTATAAAATATATGTATATTAATTAAATTTATAATTATTTTATTTAAAGGATGTTTTTACTTATGTGATATTGTGGGCATGAGAAATACTAGCAATGCATTCTTATCACACTTTCTGTGAGAGGTTATTTTTAAAAAAAAGTCAAATTATTTATCTTCTAGATTTATTATTTTTATAAAAAAATAATTTTATTATAAAAAAAAAATCAATCAATAAAAAGAACGTGTTGCAAGAAAATTATAAAATAAAAGGATAAAATAATTTTATTGATATAGTACATTTAAATTAAAAATTAAATTTAAATTAAGACTAATTAAGATAATAATATTTTAATATTTAATTTATTTTAAAAGCATTTTTAATTGTTATAATATATTAATATTTAAAATAAAAAAAATGATAATTACCTTTAAATTTAAATAAGAATATTTAAAAAATAATCAATAATGTAAGAAGTTAAACAACATAACTTGAAGAAAGAAAAAAAATATTCTTATAACTTTTGTATTGTAAATTATAAACTTAAATTTATAATATAAAAAAATTCTGATTAATATCTATAAAAACCACTTTAATTATAGAATCAAAAATAAAAAGTTTCATAATAATATTATATTTTAATATAATTTTTAACACCACATTAACTTAATATCCTAGAATTAAATTTGTTATATATACAACGAACTAGTCAGAACGGTGCATAAAATGAAAATAAATATTGGTTATTAGTTTAATATATTTTTAAATATTTTTATAAAATATCTTAAATAATTTTTTTTAAATCACATTTAAAAATTTTTATTTAATATAATAAAATATTTATTATTAATAATAAAATTATTAATTTATATTTTTTATTGATTTTTAAAAAATTATACAATAGTATATTTTAAATTTAAAACAATATACTTACAATGCACGAGGACTAATAATTGACTCGTTACAAGAACTTTTTAATTAATTCATGGCCTGGCTTCAATTTAGGTTTAAGAAGAATTTTGACATGGATCAAACTGCTACGGAACATCTGCAATCATTACGGAGTCTACGTGGCAAACAGATATACATTGAATGAGAATCGTAGGACCCCACGTTAATATCCTGATTTATTGCCATCTGTGCTTCATATCTTACACACAAACGCGTTCGTTATCAATTATCAGTAATATCAGGGCAAGCCGTGACTTAACACTCCCTATCAAACATGATTTTTGGAGATTTATCCACAATCTATTCAAGCATAACACCTCTTTCAGTTCACAACCCTGCCCACCAATATTATAGTACTAAGCAATGTTATAGTAGAAAAATGCCTTTTAATATTAAAGTGAATAGTACTCACATTTTCTTTTCTTTTTTATATATTTTAAGATATGTGTATATGATTTGATATTTAAAAATGGAGGGATTGAGCTTATGGGAGGAGCTACTTGGTGTTGACGTGGGAGAACACACCGTGTGAGGGACGCTAACGTGTGAGCAAAGCCATTTAACCATTTGTGGTATTGCTAACTGCCAACTGGATTCCTTCTCTTTTCTTCTTAGCTTCTCCCCCAAATCATCAATACACAACACCCTCCCTCTCTATATATATTTTGGTGTCACCATTCCTTCATCCACTTAATTCATTATATCTCCATCTGACTCCACACAACACAAAATTAGATCTCATTCTCCATCTCTAATATTTCTTTATGAGATATGACATGTACTGGGTGGCTTTGTTCTCTACGACCAACAACAGGCAAGTTCGTTTAATTTTTTTCAACTCTTTTCATCGTTCATAATATCTAAAAATTAAATATCATATATGTGTTAAGCTTCTTTTTCTAGCCGTGATCAAATCCATTAATTAACATTCTTATGCTAAGATTTTTCATTAATTTGAGGGGTGTTGAAAGCAGTAATTAATAATTTAATCTAGCTCCTGGCCATAATTACAAGTCTTGTTTGCTTTTCTTCGTTCATGATTAGATGTTTGTTTTTTTTCAACTCAAACCATAGAGTGATTGGTAAGGTAATAGTAGTTACCACAGAATGGTTCCAATAATTAGCTAATAATGAAGTTCATTTTTTTCAAAGCAGGTGGACCACGGAAAGAATGTGAGGAAGATGGCTTGTGCAAGAGGCCAAACGTGAATGAAGAATATCTTGAAGCATTCAGAACAAAGTCATATATCGAAATATGCAACAAAGCGCAAGGACAACTTGGAAAGACCAGCACCAAAAGACTTTCTTCCGCTTCCTCTTCATCTCCTCTTCCTTTATGCATTCAGCTTACCGAGTATTTGCTCGAACCCCGCCAAGAAATCATAGCAAACATGACACAAAGTTTGAAGGTGCACCATCTTCTTGTGGACTACTTCGAAGCTAGCTTAGAAGCATGTCGTTGTTGTGACACAATCCTTCAAGCTATCCATTCAATGCGACTTTCTTATCGACGAATCACACGGGTTGTTAAGTTAAGCAAAACAGTGCTTGATTACAATGATTATGATGCCAATGGCCTAACCCACAAGGATGATATTTATAGAGATCTTGCTTCCTTTGCTTTGCAAAACAACCCTTTGTCCATTGTTAGCACCACGCAGTTCCCTGACATACACGACAGATACATGCAACTCCTTCATAGACTAAAATCAAAGAGAAGGGAAATTCGAAGAAAATTGACATTGAAGAGGGTTTGCAAGAACATTGGAGGAATTGTTCTTTTGACTTCACATAGTGCTGTTTTAATTGCTTTATTAGTCTTTTCTTTCCATAGCATAGTTGGGTTGGTGGCTGCACCAAGCATTGTGGGTGGCTTGGTTGGTTTATTCATGAAGAAAACAAAGAGGGCACGTGAGAGTCTGAGCACAAGCTCTTCGGAGAGGCTATGCGAGCAACTTGATGTTGCTGCAAAAGGGATTTATATACTGATCAATGATTTGGATACTATGAATAGGATGGTGAAGAGGTTACATGATGAGGTGGAGCACAGGAAAATGATTGCTGATGTTTGTGTGAGGAATGGAAAATGTGAAATATTGAAACAGGTTATGAGGGAATTTCGTGAGCATGAGTCTAGCTTTTTGGAGCAGTTGGAAGAGCTTCAGGAACATATTTACTTGTGCTTTCTCACCACAAATAGATCCAGAAGGCTTCTTGTGCAAGAAATTACAGAGAAAAATCATTGAAGAACAATTACACACAACTCTTCCTTCCGGCTGATACAAATTTGAGAAAAATTTTCAAAGTCTTAAGTTACTTCCATATATATATATAAATATATATATATATGAAGCTTCTGCGCAAGCTGTCACAGTGCATGAAGGTTTCACAACTCAAAAGGGTCTCTTCCTTTCCTATGGCAAGGTGGTTTTGATGACTGTTCATTAATGCTTCAAATTTTATTATTATTTTTGTTTCGTTCAATTTTCCTTACCAGAAACATATATAAGTTTGTGAAAGGTCAAATAAGTTAAAAATCAAAGGTTCATGTCAACTAAAAGATCTTATTCCACTTTTTTGTTATGCTTTATCAATTTCTATTGTACATATTGATCTCTTGGTTACGCGTATATATTGTGTAGGTTATTTTTAGAAAAATAATAATTTTTCTTTAAATATTTTTGAAAACGATGATATTAAATAGTTATTTTCTAATAAAGTGGACTAAACTAGTAACACGCAATTATAGTAGTCAGCTTGTAACACAAAGTTGGTACTCTAGAAGTCTCCTTACCTGTCAAAGAATTTTAAACCCGAAAGAAAAAAAAAAAGAAAACTTTTTGCCACGATTTCCGCATGTTTTTAATGGTGAGAAATAAATAAATAAAAACTGACGTGGCACTGTCATACTAGCACAAAAATTATATTAGTAAATCCACGTGGACATATATGTCATTAAATAATTTAATGTGTATCTAAAAATTAAGAAAAAATATTTTTGTACAGTAAAATTATATAATTTGTTTATAACTATGCAAGAAGCAGTAAGAGAGAAAAAAAGAAACTCCAGATGATGCTATGTACAATAAGATCAAAATAAATAAATTATGAAAAATATTATAATATTTAATAACAAGAATAATATAGTTCAAAAACTGATATCTGATTAGCAAAAAAAAAAAAAAACTGATATCTGACATGATAAAAATTTTACACACATATAATTTGAACGTTTTCATAATATAATTGTCATGTAATTTAAAATTATAATTTTTATAATAATTGCTTCAAAATTTATATTTAGAATAAATTTTATTTAATTGTTAGTGTAAATTTTTTTATAATGACAGTATATTAAAATTAAATTCATATATAATAAAATAAATTAAAAAAATTTTATCAATAAAACTAAATCTCTTTAGGCGTGTTAGGTTTTTATTTTCTTTTTGGTGTTGACTTATCCTCCATAGGAAGTGGTTATTTTATTCGTTAACTATATACCTGAATATTGTAAGTTTGCAGGCTTGTTTAAAAAGTCATATAATAATAGAAAATTGTAAATAGATTTTTAGATTAGATCATGATTTTAAAAAGATTAGAAATTAAAAAAGGAATTGTATATCAAGTAATTAGTTAAATGTAGTCTTAGATTTGGAAAATAAGTGAAGTTAAAGTCCTATAAAGAGCAACAATAATTTATCCCAATTCAGTCCTTTTCTACCCCTAAAAACATTGTTGCCAGCCAAGTTTTATATTTGAGAAAGAAAAATTAAAAAAATTACTAACAATATTATCTTTTCTTAATATATTTTTTTAAAAAAATTATATAAAAAATGTAATTTTCATACACTATTAATATAATTTCTTTATATTGTCAACTAATGAAAAATAATCATGAATTTGATTTTTAAAATAATTATTATAAAAGTTAATGATATGACAATTCATATTTGAATGACAATGTATATTTTTTAAAATTATCAAAATATTTTAATTAAATTTATAAAAAATAAAAAAGTATTTCTCAGTTTTTTTATTTTTACATAAATTTAAAAAACATTAAAAATGATATTTTTACTAATTTGTAAAAATAAAAATATTAAAGTAAATTACGTAGGCCATTGGCTTTTCATTCAAACCAATAAAAATAGATATCAACATGTATTGGTTTGAGTAAAAGATTTGGATTCCTCAACAAATACATGGTCTTGAGTTCAATTTTGATATTTGTGTAGAAATACCTATAATAAATATATTATGAAATATGAATTGTAACATGTGCCTTCTAACTTTATTGGGATCACGTCTAGATTGATCCTTAAGGTTTGAAATTGAAAGCGTGTAAATAACTCCCTACACTTTGAACGCGGAAGCCCTTTGCACCAAGCAAATTTTGAGAAGGTAAATATGTGGTGCCATTCAAACCTTAATTAAGATATTGTCTCTATATATTAATAACCCACGTTTCAATGCTTTCACTCCTAATGGTAGTATTATAACTTTGTTATCAAATAACGTGGATATTAGACTGCTTCCATCTTTTCTATGCAAAATCTCCCAGAATAAAACATTTTACATTCCAGCAATCTCTTTCAATTCTGCTTTTGGTTTTTTAATATCAGGGAAAATATCTTAAAAAATTTTCCAGGTGACTCTTTCAACTCTAAAAGCTAAGTGAGAAATTATAAATAAGTAAAATCTATTATATCCTTTATATAATTGAGAGAATTTGTTACTTTCTTTTACAAATTTAACAATAATCACTGTTAATTTTATATTAATAAATAGTGATATTTAGTGATTTAGTTAAAAAAATATTAATACCCTTTACTTTTTAAAATATTAAAAAAATTACGGTTGTTAATTTAAAAAAGTTACAAAATATCTTTTCAAGTCTATAGGTAATCGGTACTAAATAAATATAGTAAGTGTTAAAATTACATAATTATTTAAATTTATAAAATTAATTCTGGATCAAGATCCTCTCATATTTTATTTTCACTGCAGGGTTGAGAGCAGAATAAGCATTCAAATTTATTAACACAAATTACTTAATAAAATTTTATATCATAATAATATATATTTAATCGTTGAGAATCAGTCTCTTTTCATTAATTTTCTAATTAATAATTACAACAAACTTGAACTTCACACTTGGGCTCACAGCTGCTAGAGAAGCTGGAGGGAACATAGGTTACAACATGCAAGTTACAACTAACAAAACAAGTGAATCTTTCATTAATCTTTAATATGAAGGTATGTAGTGTAAATGGGAATTTTCTCCTTTTCCTTTTATTTTATCTCCCTTGTTTCCTGAATCCTTTAATTGTTGAATTGTAAAACATTGGTCATCATAGGATTATAATACATACACTTTGCGTACGAATCATCTAACGAATTTACAGTGAAGCCTGATTTCTTGTCCACCGTCGGTGATGCTGCTCATCTTGATCATGGACTTGACAAAGGCTCTTTCAAATTCCTCTTGGGAATGACCAAACTTGGAAACCAAAGCTTTAGTGTTTGGATGAGAGAGAAGGGCTTGATCAGAAGAGAATATGCTCTTTCCTTGAAGGAGTAGCTTGTAATAAGCATTGTCAAACAAGGTGGAACTAGAATCCAATGGGGCTCCTGCGTTTTTTACCTTGTTCGGTGAGGGACATATACTTCGGAGCCTGCTTGCGAATGATGGGTTCATTGATGGATCAATGTCTTGTTTGGGGCTGAAGTTGTGGATTCTGTTCTGTAAGGATGAACAATGAGCGAACCCGAGCGTGTGACCTCCTGAACATAACATCATTACAAAAAAAAAACATCATATCATGATATGTATAATCAATATGGATAACATAGTAACTACCATTTTAGATAAGTGATTATTACATTTTCTTTTGTGTGTATTGATTATAAGATAGTAAAATTGGATTTTGTTGTACAGCTAATTTACTATACAATCTTTATTTCTGGTTAAAGAAATAGGAAGTTAGGAACTAAATACTAATATTAATTAAACAAATCTGGAATCATGATAACTACATGTTTCTCATGATTAGATATTGTGAATTGAATTTATAATTTCAGTCTTACCTGAGAGGGCTACAAGATCATCCAAGGAAAGGCCTCTTTGAGAGAAGCTTTGTTGTAACTGGGAAATATTGAATGTGGGAGCTGGCAATTGTCTGGTTTCAATGGCCTTTGATATTCTTCCATCCTTTCTTCCTTTGGGTACATCCCAAGTGGGTCCTCCAGACTAATAAATAAATAAATAGTAAATTTCTAATTCTCAATTGGCCTAAATAGTTGAATTTGTTGCTGAGAGCTTGAAAAAAACAACCTTAAATTAATAACTAAAATAAAATAATGATGACTTAATAGTTTGTGACACTGACCAGAGTAACAGCATCCCTAGCAGCAAGAGCCAAAATATCAGCACAAGACACGATCCCGGGACAAACGGCTTCCACTGCTTTCTTGGCGTTGTCAATTACATAGAATGCATGCAAAGAAATGTTAGGAGGCCCATCCTTTTCTGCTTTATTCTTTCCCTTTGATTCCAGAAGAACAGAAGCATCACATCCCTTACAATATGAAATGATCAGTATTATACGTATCCACTTCACTACAATGTAACTGACTAAGTGCATGTTTGGAACATTATCTTTTAATAATAATAATATCCTTAAAATAAAAATTTAACCAGCACGTAAGGGAAAGTTGCTTGGCCCATATGAACATTAACATAGGCTAAGAAGGAGATCGAACAAAAAGTTGCATACCCTTATGAAACAATCGTGAAAATGCATCCGAAGCAGAGCAGCAGGGACAGTTTTGTCATTTATGGTTGCTTTATGTACAGCACCAGCTACAATGGACTCTACCTGAGGGCACGTATGGTCATAGTAATTCACACTTAGTGCACTAGCAAGAGAAGCGAGGGACAATGTTATGAGCATCACTGTGATAATAGCTGCCATATTTCAAATGACAAATTTAAGCTTTGTTTATGACTTGTGAGAAGCAATATTAATGAGGATGGTATTTATAGAGAAGGTGACGATGACACAGGAAACTTGGAGTTGTTACGGATACATCATACATGGTTGTTAAGCATATTTGATGATCTATTACCCTGTTAGTGGAGCAGTGTTTTCAAGCATCATCTATTTAATAAACAAAAGTTGCATTTGGTTTAGTTGCTTTTAAAAGGGTACATTATCACAAAAGCAATCCCATACATGGGCTCAATTTTTGGTACCTCCTTCCCTTTGAGCTTTATTTTATAAGTTTCACACTTTCATTATGGTGATGTATTTTCCCATTTTTAATATCTTACTGTAATTAAATTTAATGGTGTATTTTTCATATTATTCGATGAGTTTGATAATACTGTTAAACTCATTAAATGATATGAAATTTTAGCATTTCTTCCTTAAATTGAATTAAATTGAATCAAATTTTATTTTATTTTATTGTATTCGTTAACAATGCGTATAAATTAAGGAATAAGTTCTGATTTTGGTCTTATCACATTAGTTTTTTTAGATATTTGTAATTGATTTTCTGTTCATAAATTAAAGCATCACCGTTTAATTTTTCAAAGATTATTCCTTTACTAAACTACTTAAGATATAAAATTATCAGTGAGTTTATGAATGGCTAAAGTATTGGCAGAAAAAATAAATTTAGTGACAATTTTATGAGGATTAATTTGGTAAAAAAATTAATTTGAGGACTGATATAGTATACTTTAATTTTCAAAGAATTAATATAGCGATGAAAATATTTTAAGAACTAATCCAATGATACCTTAATCTTCAAAGGATGAATTTAGAATTTATTCAAAGTTAAACTATTCCTCTTTTCCTACTCTCATAAACTAAACACTGCAAAGAGAGAGAGAGAGAGAGAGAGGAATTATTGTCAATTAATGAAAAGATGGAATGTTTCTTTTTATTTATGAGTTATCTGAGGTTAGATTCCCAAATGTTAGGTGCCTTCCTTTATTTTCTTTTGTTTTATGATGAAAATAAAAGCTGCATTCTTGCTGTACATTACTTGGCCGTCTCCCGTAGAATTATAAATAACACTATTCTTTCGAACAAAACAAGTTTATTTTAGGAATATATTTCACTACAATTTTACTAGCTTGAATCCCAATTAAAAATAAGTAAAGGAAAGGGGTCTTCGTTTGGACTAGCATATTGACCCCAAAATGAATGGTTTAGTTGGTTTGGCCACAACCAATACGGATATCTTTGCTTAATCGTAGTTCAACATAGTATTTCTTTAGTAAAGAACCTAATTACGAACTTAAAAACATAAACTATATACTACCATCGAGAATGTGGTTAAATTAGTAAAAATTATTTTAATTAACATAGTCTTTCAGTTCGAATATCAATCGTTATGCTTTTCTTAGTTTAAATAGGTCTTGAGTGCATATTAGACAGAAAATATACACTATATGCTGAAAAGAAAATAGTTTATTTAATGTGCCTAACACCTTCATCAATTCATTGTCCACTGCTAATCATTAACATTGTAGAATGCCCCGTTATGACATTGACTAGCTATATGGCTCGGCTCATTATCAATAGTAAAAATTGACGTGTAGAAGGCACATTATGACATTAGTGATGCGGTTTTATCTCCAATATAGAAGAGAGCTTATATACTTATAAGTAATTTAAGCTTTCTGAAAAATTATAGAAATTTCCATGAAGGTAGAGACAGACAACTGTCACTTGAATTCATGTGAGATATTGCTACGTAACATCTTCGCTGAAGTTGATGCAGTTAACAAGTTTCAGTTGATCTGAAAGGGTAAACATGTGTCATTGTCCCGATACGGTTTATGTGTGAGACATTAGTTGCAACAATGCCAGCTAATGTCGTGTGTCTCACTTTTATAAACTCATGTCATGTGTTTTAATCAAACAAAAAAAAATGCGTAGATTCTCTGCTAGCTGTAAGAGCATCTTGCATCTAACAGGTTTTGTTCTCTTTTTTCCTGGCTTCAAAGATCGATGGAATTCAATTAATACACAACAGTGACAACATTACATTGAAAAATTTAGGGAATTAATATTTTATCAACTCCCGGGATAGAGCTACAATTCAGCTATAGTATTCATATTACAACAATTTGTAGTATAAATATAAACTTCAAAGATGCTTATTCGATTTCTACATGCTTGAGCTTGCTTATGATATGATGGTGGTTATTATTATTGATAACAATTTATGCAATAAGCTATGTATTAAGGCTTCTTCATTAAGGGCTTGGAGTAGATGGGTTTGGTCCACCAAATAATCAAAACCAGAAAAAGGGGTGGCGGGCTGCTCCAGTGAAATAAAAAGCACGCCTCGGCCGTTCTGGTTTTATGGGAAAATCTAAAATCCAAAAACCAGAACCCAGAACTCAAGAGCCCTGTCTGTGTGGGGGGCTTAAAACTGGACCGGGCTTGAGAATGTTTGTCCAAAAGCCCAATTTGCTGGAACTATATTTTGGAAAACTCTTGTTTCTCCATCAGAGGTTGTGACCCTGAAGGACAAAGATTGACCATTCAAATACGCATTGGATTGCCAATTAGCACCCCAGTTTCTTGACATTGCCATCCAGTCGGTTTTTGAGCCTTTGATGGACACAGATTGAATGGATCCAGCCCCAGCCACATTGCTGATCAACACAAGTTCAAAGTAGTCTCTCCCATTCACAGTGAACCTAACCCCTCCGTGCTTTTTGCATGGAACCCTGAAAAGATATTAACATGTAACAGAAATTAACTAACAAACATGTTTTGTTTTTGCCATTGCGGAGAATATTAGGATCAGTAATACTAATATTTTTTACTATACCAAGTTAAGGTTCTTAAGTAGAAGAAATACAAACCTTTGGAACAAGACTGGCACAATCCCTCCTCTGTAGATACCAATCTTTTCCCAAGCGGGTTGGGCCATATCAAAATGCATGAGAGGTGGGTTGCACCAACCTCCATTGTTGTTAGGAAGAGCGAAATTAGGAGGGCAAAAGTTGGTGGCAGTTATGGTTACAGATCTTCCTTTAATACACCATCTGGGGTCTGTTTTGTAATCACATATGATTTTGTAGCACTGTCCACAGGAAGCTCCATCATTAAATAAGGCAGTACTCAGAGCAGCAGTTCTAGTCCCATATCCTGTTGAATACAGATTCCCATACCCACAAGCTCCCCCTACACAAGTATGTGTGCAAAATTCAATCTTTGAAGAGTAGGGGAGGGGAAAAAGAATATAGCAATTAAATGTTAGAAGGTTGAACCATAACACAATGGCTTACCCATAGTGCCTGAGGCATCACTTCCCCCATAAAAAGTGGCATGTGCATTGGTCCATCCAGAAGGTGAGAAGGCGTAAGTGTTGATTGTGAAACAGCATAGTCCAATGAGACTGGCCAAAACAAGCATCACTTTGCCCATTTTCTTCTTGCTTATGCTGTATGCCCAGGACCCCAAAAGACTAGAATTTGTATTTGCAATTATTGTCATTTCCAAGCATAGAAGCTATGTCTTTAAATAAGGGACTAGACCCGCTACGGCAACTATGGTACATGTGAGGTCCTGCAAGATGAGAGAACTCAAGAAACAATTTTTATTATTTATCATTAAATTTAACTGTGCAAGTCTGCAGAGTTCTGAACTTCATTCAATTATTCCCACGTTCTCTTCAGTACACTTCCCTTCCCACCCACATGCCCGTCCCAACGTAAGAGCCGTGAATGTATCAAAACCCACAAGCCCATTTGGTCGTCTATTTTTTATATATATTAACTCATCTCAAATCCCAATGATTACATGTTTCGTCATATGGATCTGTTGGCTTGTAACTCTTTGCGGATAAAATGACAAGAATAGTTTTGTGAAATGGAACAAACGGCGTAGATCATAACATACATGGTCACATGGAAATGGCTGACAGTGTCGTTTTTTGTGAGCTACATCCACATGTCCCATTTTGGCTATACAGATTGTCAGTTGTCGGTTAGCTAGCAACTCTAAAGTAATCACCGTTGATTCAATGTGAGAACATTATGTGATATTGACATCTAAATTTTCCAAAATAAATAAATTATCCAACTGGAGATTGAGCATCCAATTTTTCTCGTTTATCATGTATTCATAAATTATTATAAGCCTAAGCTAAACTAGCCATGCTACGCTATTACGGCACCGTCAAGCAAACTAAGAGGGAAAAGGAAGTTATCCATGGGACTTCCAGAAGTGAAATATTATTTTTGAAAGTCCAAGACGTGAAATAATTAAAATATCATGTTAAAACAGTTTGGCTTCTACTTCTCTAAGATGGGGTACTTCGTTTTAATTTTCACCCTACAACAGTAGTACTAGATACCATTTACTTTCCATTTTAATACACTTTTCACGTTTAAAAAGCCAGGTCCATTTAGTTTATAGTCCCATAGAGTACATACCTTCTGTTTTTGGTCAATGAGTAAATACTTTTCGATAGTCAAACTTTTGAACTGAATCTCTGACATGGTCCTAAATAATTGATTAGTTTTTTACAAATCCTAAAACAGTTCTCCGAACAAGGAAACAAAACATCGGTATCACCATGGTAGGAAACTAACAGTAAATATTTCAAATATGGTAAAGGACTCCCAGACACCGTTTATGCAGAAAATAAAACTCCCACGTTCCAATATGGTAATGGTAATGGAAGTTTTCCAATGAAGAAATATGAGCAAATGCAGGAAAAAAGAGATCCCGACAGCAACAAGTAAGGTAAAAAGAGCACAATCATTATCAGAAATCATCATCATCTTCCTCTGCGATATGCTTAGCCAGTTCTTGCTCTTGTTGTTGCCTCTCTCTCCTCTTCTCAGCACTTTCCTTTTCCTTGTGTGTGTTTGGTGGAAATCGCAGTGCTCGAACGGCCTCATTGTGCATGTTAAGACAAAAGGCAATCCGAGAATTAAAGGCCATCTGAGGCTCATTTGTAGAGTAAATATCTCCAGTTTCCTTAGACACCATCCACCGATTTGCATGATCCAATGAAGCATCAATTGCCCCATCACGAATAGCCTTTGCTACGATGCTCTCAGCATCAGCAACAGGATTTGCAGAGTTCAACCTCAACTTTTTAGCTACACCCAATAATGAGATGCGTGAATATGATATGCTGATGTTGAGTAAACCAGTCCTGATGACATTATGACGCAGCCGAACAATCAAATTATGTGTTCGATCTCTATTGAAAGTGGTAGCAAACTTCTCTGCAACATTTCTAAACAGCTCCAAGTCACCAATCCGTACAGCCTGTAATTCTAAAACATAATCAAACACTACCACCAAGGACCACAACAAACAATATTACTATGGTTATGACTTAACAAAAAATATCTATATTGGATTTGGAAGAGGCCTCAATATCACATGAAAAACAGAAAATTATGATTTCAAAACACAAAAAATTAACTTCCAACAGAGTATCAAAGATTGAACAACGGTCCATACCAACACATAAAATTGTGTTTTATCACAGAATTTCAACAAAAGTAAATTGAAGATATTTTATTATTTTGACTGCCACAACTTTCAAAACCATTTCATAGGTGCTTCTCAAAAGCACTGGAAGACTATGCCTCATTGTTTTGTAATGTGACCGTTATTAAAATCAAACATGGATCAGTGTATCACTTCACTAACAATATAGTGTAAAAATGGGCTTTAAAATCCAATAACTAAAAAATTAACATGAAAGAGATAGAGCTCATAGGGTGGAATGATGTGCCACTAGCAGTAAAAAAAAAAGTGGGGTGCTTGTGTTAAAAATTTTAACCGCACTGGACCAATCATGTGTCAGGCATGTCATCTGCCACATCACCGTTTTGAAAGAGTTAATATAAGATGACATCGGCAACCTAGTTGAATAATAAAAAACTGCAAGGATCCAATTGTCATAAAACAAATGTGTAAGACACATTCCTTAACAAGATGAAACTGTAAGAACTAAACGTAATCAAATAAAAAAATTAGAAGTTCACTTTTATTCTGGACCACAAGATAGCTAATTCTGGTTTATAATGTGGACTTACATTAGTAAGCTCAAAGTAAGGCCTCAAAGATTTTTCCATTCCTCTTTGCATAAAGACAGTCCTCTCAGGTATTTCTCCCAATAATAAACGCACTATCACAGCCCACTTGTTACATTGAATTCGAAAACCCTGTGCTGCAACAGGAGCTTTCCGAGCAGCCTGAAGGAGAGACTCTTTGGCATCGGTATACTCAAGCTGAATTGTCCGGATTTTGCCAAGGTAGAAAATATAACGACAGAACTAAAAAAAAGAAACACAAGAATGTCAAGCAAAATGAAGTTAAAGAAAAAAAAAAGAACTTGCTAAGCAAATAGATCTTAGAATCATTGAGAAGGTTCAACACGAGGCCATCTCAAAACAGGTAGTCAAGCCAGGTATAGAAGGGGGAAATTGCATTCACCATAGGAAAGAAATCCCTTTGATGCCTAGAACAAAAACCACCATACCTGCTGGTTTGAATGTGCCTCAAAACGTGGAGCCTTAGACCTCAACTTCTCTGCCTGATCATACAGGTTGTAGTGTAGATAGTTCCGAAGTAACAGATTAAGAAGTGTTTCCTGCATCATATCACCAGGTAAGTACAAGATATGTGCCACTTACGAAACAAATCAATCTGTAAGTTTGAAACAAACCTGACCCAGCTCATCATGGCGCAGGGTAGCAATCCGATGCAATGCAAGTAGGTTGCTGAAATGAAAATGTCATTTCATTTGGAGTTAGTTAAATGCCAATATCAGCTGTAAACCCTCTTAACAGTATAAACACCTGCCCCTGATATATTTTCGAACTGCATAGATAATAACCTAACTCACCCCCGAATTTCAGCAAGATCCCCTGTAAGCTCATAGCTATACGAGTAATAAAAGTACAATCTTGATGCAATAACATCAACAGTTCTTCTATTCAGGCTCTTCAGCCGAACAATGCTTGCCGAGGAACAATCTTTGGCCTAAAATGAAAAATTAAAGCAACTTGAGCATATAATCAGTAGACTAAAGGCATAGGCATAGCTGATAAAAAATCTAAGCATACAGAACCCAACCTCATTGTACTTTTTCTGATCAATCAGAAAAAGCAGGACGAGGAGGTAACAGTATATTTCTAGCTCAGGCAACAAGTGCTTGGTCGGAGTTTGAATAGAAGATGCTGCAGTGTCTACTTCCATCTCCTGATCACCGTCCTGCACAGCCAGTTACAAAATTAAGAACTCGAAGACCATCACGTCCATTAAAACATTACAACTACACAATTTAGAATACTTTACACTCATGCACAGTTCCTATTCTTCACATTTGTACCATAAATGTATAATTGATCAGAGTATCTAAACAATGAAATGGCAATCACAAGTTGAATAAAGGCAACGCAGTAGAACGCTTATTCGATAATAACTAATTTTTACAACGGTTTTTCTACATGCGTTCATGTGTCACATGTTAAAAAATAAAAAAAGAAAAAAAGTAAGTTTTTATTAAAATTTGGGGCATTCAATCTTATTAATGCATTAAATTACGTAACATCTTATTATTTTTAATAAAAAGATATATGTCCACAACTTAGAAGAACCGTATTTACAATTACAACGGTGAAAGGAAAACACCAAAATATTTACCTTGCCATTAGGAAGATAAGAGGATAACCTAGTGTGAGCTTCAGAAGAAGGAGAAAGAACGTAGTCGAGAAAAGATGAGAGAAGCGGTGCTGTCAGTTTACGCCTCAATGAAAAAGTGAGGCGCAGGGCACGAGCAATTCTACGAACTTCCTTTGAGTATGAACCATTTTCAATGATGGATGCTATCTCCTTCAAATCTGTGAGTGAGGGTCGAATTCAATAAAAATAAAGTAAAAATGGAATGAATGTTGCAGAGATTGAAAGTAAAGGGCTGAAGAAAGTTACGGTGCAATGTAGAGCAAGGAGCTGAAGAGACAAAGTGCGAGGGCGTTGGTTGATCTTTCATCTCCACGTCTTCGCCCATATTCAACACACACACGATACTGACAATGCTTTACGATCTGTAAGTTGCAAAACAAAACTAAGCAAACCCTAATCTGGTTCGGTAGGGAAAATACTAGAGAAGACGATAGAGGAAGCAATTAGTAGTTGGCAGCTTCTTCTTCCCAAGTTAAAACGCAGAAAACTTTTCTTATTTAGGCTTTTCTTCTCAAAGAAAAAGCTAATGGTAGCTTGCTTTTAGCATTTATTTTTTTACAGTTTAATTTATTATTAAAAATGGCTAAAAATATGTTGAAGTGTAAAATATAAATATAAATTATCAGTATATTAGATTTAAACAGGCTTTCTTAACAGACTTAGCTTTTATAAAGTTTAACTTATTTAATTAAAAGGTTTAATTTTAATTTTTTAAAAATTTAATTAATTAAATAAGTAAGACTTAAATTTAAAAAACTACTTAATAGAATAGTCTTTTTAAAATTCATAAAATTTATAATAATATATTAAATAAATTAAATTTTAAAATAAATAAAATCTTAAATTAAAAATTTTAATTTTTATAGTTAAAGTTAAAGAGTGTCTCTAATATATACTCTTTTGAAAAAAAAAAAGCATTATTTGTTAAAGTCTTTTGTGTATATTATATATCTATTACGTTTATTTATATTTATGTCTTCTCAATTATGTTTATTATTTTTTCATCTCATTTCATCTATCATCTTCTTGCTTGTACTTATTTTTATTATATCATATGTAACTCTTTTTTAGTACAAAGTATAATTAAAAAGACTAACAAGACAAAGCAAACACTTAATAAAAAGTCCATAACAAACAATATGTCAGACTTAGATTTTAAAATTATTAGATAGATCAAGACCAATTTCTATTTATGTTAGTCTATTTTCATTCATACAAGTGAGTATAAATATTTATGAATAAAAAGTTGTTATAAAAAAATTATTATTATATTAAAGTTAAAAAAATATAATAAATATTTTTATTTTTAATAATTTTTTATTATTTTTTCTAATAAACAGGGTTTAACGCCTAAAGATGAAACTAATTATAAGATTGGGAATGTTAATACCTAAATAATCTAGCCTAATATGGTCAACTAAAGAAAAATGGACAATATCTAGGATCGTATAGTCAATGTATCCTTCATGAGCCAACCGGGCTAATTTATCCACACAATGGTTAGTTTCACGATATACATGAGAATAATGGATGAAAGGTAAATCTTGTAATAATGTATGAATACTCTGAACTAAATAAGGATATTGACCAACATATCTATGGTTATTCTTGATAATTTGGAGAGCTTCCCTAGAATCAGACTCTAAAATTACATTCAAGTAACCATTTGCTCTAAAAAATTGAAGACCATAAAAAACAGCTCATAATTTAGCATCCAAAGGAGAACAACAACTCACTTTGCACATAAAGCCCTTCAGAAAAACTCCATTAGGACTCCGAATAAGACCCCTACAAGCAGCAACACCTGAACTAGCAAATATAGAACCATCAACATTTAGTTTAACATAACCTTTGGGAGGATGAGACCAATTAACAAGCGCAAAATCCTTTAGCTTAGAAAAATGGTCAGAGTCCCTGCAAGAAGGGACTAAATAAGAAACAAATGATATAGATTGAGCAATCAATAACCGGGGGGAATAGAAGTATTATTAAAAATGAAAGAATTCCTATAAGATCAAATTTTCCAAAGCAAATTACCAAAAATCACATTCCAATGCTTAAAATTATTAGCTTTTTGCTGAGATAGATTATCGATCAACCAATTACTCAAGTCAACACTAAAAAACTTATACCAATCAGTATTAGAAATCAACAAGTTTCAAACCTCAAAAGTATATGGATAGTCCCGTAAAACATGCATAATCATTTTAGGTGCAGCAAAGCACCTAAGACAAAGATAATAGTCAGAAACACCTCTATGAACTCTTTCTACATTAGTTAATAATTTACCATGAGCAATTTTTCAAAGAAATAAATTATTCTTAGGTTGCCCAGGCCATTTCCAAGCCAATTTGAAACAATCATTATTATTATTAATAGGATGACTATCCTTATATAATAAAACATAAGCAAATTTAATAGAAAATTTACCATCCATAAATTATGACCAAATAGGAATATCATTTCCCAACTCTTTATTGGGAGATTTAAGGTGACAATTCTTTGACAAATATGAGGAGACAACAAATGATTAAATTTATCCAAATTCCAACCTGCAGGAGATGCAAATAAGCAAATAGGAATATCAAAATCAAATTCTAGAATAGGACAAATAGTAAACTCCTTAAGATTGCTAAAACCAGGGACCTAATTATCAATCCAAAAACTTGTACACATTCCATCCCTAATTTTCCAATCAAGACAACTATAGAACTTAGGCTAAATATGAGCTAAAGCTTTCCAAGTACTTGAAATTTTTTTGTTCTTATTCACAACAATAGATCTCCGTGGAATCTATATTTAGCAATTAGAGTTTGAGCCCAAAGATCATTAGAAGAAGTAATAAATCTCCAACCTAATTTCATTAAGTAAGTTGTATTTAAATTTTGAATATCTCTAAACCCCAAACCTCCATCTTCTTTAGAAGCACAAATGGTGGACCAACTTATTAAATGATATTTCCTCTGCTGAATAGATCCCCAAATAAATTGCCTACACAGTTTATTAATCTCTTTACAAACAGTAACATGAATTATATGAGTTTGGAGATAATAAACAGGTATAGTCATCAGACTAACTTGAGCTAAAGTAACTCTCTTAGCCATTAATAAAGACTTAGCTTTACAAAGAGAAAGTTTCTTCTTGATTTTATCAATTAAATTATTATAACAACGATTGCTAGGTCTAATAGGCAGAATGGGAAGACTAAGATAGGAATAAAAAACAGTAACTCTTTTTATGTCTAAAGCATCACTAATCTGATTAGCTAATACCCTATCAATATTATTTGAGAAGAGAATGTTAGATTTCATCCTATTAACACGCTGACCAATAGTAGAACAAAACTTCTCTAGAACCTGATTGATTTTAATGGCTTGATCAATAAAAGTATATCATATGCGAAAAAGAGGTGAGAAATTTTAGGGCCATTTATACTAAAAGAGAAAGGTATTAAATTCTCAGCTTCTACCTCATCCTTAATGCAATGGGCTAGTCTTTCAATACATAACACAAACAAATAAGGAGATAAAGGATCTCCTTGTCAAATTCCTCTAGTAAGGAAAAAAGTATCAGTTTTATTACCATTCCACTTGACACACATATAAAAGGAGGAAATGTAATGGTAAATAAGATCAATAATCTTACTATCAAAACCAGCCAACGATAAAGTATCTTTAATAAAATTCCAATTTAGTTTATCATAAGCCTTTTCCAAATCAAGTTTCAAAATCATAAAATTTCCTTGTCTCTTAAAATTATTAAAAGAATGAACAACTTCTTGTAAGATGACAACATTATCAATCCCTTGCCTTCCAACAATAAAACTTCTCTGATTTTTAGAAATTAAATAAGATAAACATCCTTTAATTCTATTTGCCAAAATTTTTGTAACTACTTTATAATTAAATAAGAGAAATAGGTTTAAACTAGTGGACAAATTCAGGATGATCAACCTTAGAGATTAAGGTAATAACAGTTTGATTTACTGTTTCTATGAGATTGGGTTGCTGAAACACATCTTGCACAAATTTGAAAATATAAGGATGAAGAATATTCCATTCAAATTTAAAAAACACAACATGTAAACCATCAAATCTAGGGGATTTAAAATTTCCAATACTAAATAAAGAAATCTTAACTTCTTCAACTTTTACAGAACTATTCAGCCTATCTATATCACTAGCTTTAATGGGGGGAAAAGAATTAACACTAGAGAGATTACAAGGAATATAACTGGAACCCATATAAAGCTTTTTTAAAAAAACTACCATTTGCTTAATAATTTCAGGATTAAATTCCCAATTGCCATCATAGTTCCTCAGAGCTTCAATCATATTATGGTTTCTCCTATATATAGCAGCCTTATGAAAATAATAGGTATTTCTATCCCTTAGCCTAATCCATTTAGACTTATATTGATGGAACCAATATATTTCTTCTTGATTAAGAATTTGTTCATATTCCAACCATAGATTATTCATAAGACCAGAAAGATATTTATTCTCAACACTAGCCAACATACAAACAATCCCATTAATTCTGTTTAAAATTTGCCTTTTGCGGTTAAAAATATTACTAAAAACAGATTTATTCCAAACAAAAATGTTATTCCTAAATTTAATAATATTCTGAGACTAAGAACAATTATTAGACCAAGACATTTTGACTTGATTAAAAAAATCAGAATGAGGCAACCAAGGGGCCAGGAATTTAAAGGAAGAGCCACACTTATTAGATTGATTAAGAGGTCTGATTTTTAACCATAGTGTGGCATGATCTGACTTAGGAATCACGACGCTTATAAGAGAACTGGACGGAAAACTTTCCCTCCATAACACATTAGTTACTATTCTGTCTAATCTTTCTTTCAAGGTTCCTCGCTACCAAGTAAAAGGAGTACCCTTAAAATCTAAATCGACTAAGCCACAAGTATCAAGGCAGGTTGCAAATTTAGCAATTTTATTATACCTCACAGGACCTCCTTCAACCCTTTTCGTTATCAAACAAAATAAAGTTAAACTCCCTAGCCACACACCAAGGCATATTTAAATTATTACTGAATCAACTCATCCCATAATATCGATCTTAGGTGGTCTTGAGGACTCTATAAACAGTTGACAACAACCAATACTAATTATCACCTATCTTAACTTTCAAATGAATAGAATATTTAGATGTGGAAACCACATAAATATTTAACTTATTAGGATTCCAAAAACATCAAATACCACCAAAAAAAACCACAAGCGTCCACTTTAATACAACCATCTAAATTCACTCTTTTAATAATATAATCAACCCTATCCTTACTAACTCTAGTTTCTAAAAGGGAAAAAAAAATCCAGGTTGTATAATTTCACTAGGTCATTTACTAATCTGCAAAAAGTTTTCCCCCCAGCAACCCTACAATTTCAAAACATAGCATTAATTGGTTAATATTCTGATTGGTTTGTTTGTGCAGGATTAGCACAATACAAATTCAAAGATTTATCTAAATTAGACATATTGTCGTTTGAAACAATCATTTACAATAGTGCTCTCATAATCAAGAATAGGAGGTTTATTAGGAAGTGGATAATGACCTTCTTGTATAGTAAGATTCTTATTCTTACCCATACATAAAATATCCTAGATGGATCCCCCTTCTTTATATTTCTTATTAAGATCATCTTCGAACCTTTTCATGAACATTAAAACTTCTTTATCCCTACTAAAATTTCCTTCCAAGATAGAATTAGAAACAAGAGATTTGTCACAACTATTTTTTAAGGTTTGAGCCTCAAATTTATTATTTTGTATACTTTTTGGAACCTAACTTATGCTTTCTTAAGACTTTAAGGTTACTCAATTTCTTATTTTTTAAAACCTGCTTAAGGTTTGACCTAGTACGGTTTTGGTAAGGAAAAGCTGAGGTAGAAGAAAACATTTCAATTGGGGCACTAATTTGCTAAGCGTGCGTCTTTAATTCTAATGAGTCATTTATCTCATTATTAATAAGAGACTCAAATCTGGATCCTAAAACTTTTCCAATATTGGATAGACCATTAATTACACTTATTTGAGACCTATTCTGCCCTACCTTACTCCTTTGAGGTCGCTTAACTACCATCCAAGGACCAAACCTTTGTTGGTCCTCCCCCTTGTCAAGAGCCTCAACTTTCTCATTTACTTCCTTGGAATTGGATTTTTCCTCCAAATTATCAATAACATCTTTCTGATTATTTTCTGAATTGAGTCCCATAATAGGCTCCATATCTTCATACATCATACTTTCAGGACAATTAGCATTCCTATGACCATATTTTTTGCAGGAAAAACATATCAAATGCAAACCCTCATACTCAACATTGAACTTTTGCCCTAATACTTGAAAAGAAGGTATAAGTTTCTTCCGGAGATCAATCTCAATACATATTCTGGCAAACTTATTCCTAGATTAGATAGTTGTATGAGAGTCAATTTTAAGCATAGTACCTAATGTAGAACCAATCTGCCAAAGAAACTTATCATTATACAATTCGATATGAAGGTCTAGGATCCTCAGCCAAAATCAACTTTCCTAAAAGAGTGATCCCTAGATCTAAAAAAGGGTCTCCACCTTTGGACAAGCAAATGGTCTAACACTAACCATAGTCCATCAAATAAAGCTATCCTATAGTCATCCATCTCTGAGAAGCGAACTAAGAAGAATTCATTGTTAAGATCTAAAACTTGAACTTCCCCATTCTTCTCCTATAAGTTCTTTATTTTTTGTTCTAGGTATTTAAAACTAACATTTTTTCCTAACAACTTTACTATCAAGGTAGATTTCCAAGGTAAACACCATAATTCATAGTCCTCTAAAGATACTTCAAGATTAGGACAAAGACAAACATTATCATTCATAACAGGAGGAGGATCATCATAATCAGTAGACAAATTAAAATCATCCATAACAGAAGAAATTATTTCATTATGATTAAACATGTAATCCATATTATTTGACCCTAATAGTCTATCTTTATAAGAAATAACATCGTCACACATAGATGTCTTAAGAGTAGATAACACTTGAGACATAACGCCTTGCTTTTCTTCAAGATCTATCATGATTTGGGATTGTTCCTTGTTATCGAGAACTACTACCTTGGCCTTTTTGTAACTTCTTTCAGTCATATCCACTCCCTGTAGAAACCTTAGATCTGATTTTTTCTGTGAACCTTCCTCCAAATGCTCTACATCTTGAGAAATCAAAACTTTCCTTTTAGCATACTCCTCTGTAGTCGTCTCTTTTTGCTTTACTGAGCCTTGAACAACACCATCCTCAACCTCCAAAATCACGTGATAAGGCTTATCCATATCCAAGGACTCTTTATCGCAACACCAACGAGATTTCCTAGTTGGAAATCAGCCACAATAAAGAAAGAACCCACCTTCAGCAACATAGCTGAGGAAAGGGTCTTTCTCGAAACCCTAACGGCACAAGAAATTCAATCTTTTCCAAAAGACCGAAATAGAGAGAATTAATTTTTACGCTATAACCCTAATATAAATTATTATTATTATTATTATTTGCTTATTATATGATTGATTTTTTTTTTTGCTAAACATCAATATTTTATTAAGGATAAATTTAGAGTATAAGGAGTACATGTTATTTAAATGGTTTAGTATCAATTTATTTTGACCTAAAAATTTACACAAGACTTTATTAAGCATGTGTGAAATCTTATAAAAAAAGGAAATGAAGAAGTTGTAATAAAATGGAACCATTTGACTTGAACAAAATAATATTCTCTTCAACCATACAATTGATGTTAACATTTTCTTTAAAAAAATATAATGATAAGTGAGTTATTTGTTATAATAAGTCAAATTAAAAATTACATGAGTTAAGAAAATTCTTTGACTAACTTTAAATACTAAAACAGCTTAATAACTCTTTAAAGAATAGCTTAATATCTTTAAAGAATATAAGATTAGTTAATTCAACAATTCAACTGATAAAGATTTTTAGCAAGTATTATTAACTTTATAAATTTTCATACAAATATAAAATGAATAAATACTTTATTATATTATTTTATTTTAACATATCATATTTAAAAAATATATAAATAAAATTTAAAATATTATTTATGTATATATATTTTAAGAAAGCCTTTTCTTAGTCATGAATATAAATTAGTCGGATTAGGTTATATAAGACTTAAAATTTGATTTTAATTTTTTCAAAGTTTTATCTGATTTACAAGCTTACATAAAAAGTTATTTCACAATAATATCTTTTAAATCAAAATAGTTACTTCTAAATTATCTAATAAATCTCAACTTACATATAAATCAACAAATTTAAACACTTAAAGAAAATAAATCTACATTTTCAAAAATATTACCAAAATTTGGTTAATAAAACCCAAATGTATAATGCGAACAAATTTATCGTTACAAGAATATTAGTGATACTCATTCTCAAGGACATAACATAACAATTTTGATTTTGATTATTACAACGAAAGTGGCCCGTGCCGACTTTTGTCCCTGCTAAAGAAAAAAGAAGGAAATGTTATCATGAATCCGTAGTGCAATTTCTTTAGTCAGGTAACACGGTGCAGAGAAAAACGCAGGTATATTTTTCATTACCACGCATTCGCCTGGAGCATGGTCTTTTTTTTCATTACGTAGAAACAAAAACAAAAGATGATCACAGAGAAGGAAAGAGAAAAGGCATCGACTTAAACACAACTCTAGAAAATAAAAATTAAAGAATGAGATTCAGGGCCAAAACAGAAGTACAACTGTTCAAGCATCTGACCAAGGTCTAAAACATAAATGGTGCCTTAGGCGGCAGCAGTCTCAAACTACGTCTACATAAACTGTAAGAAAATGCCCTACAGTTCTTCAGGGCCCCAGGGAAAAAAGAAGGGGGAAATGAAGAAAATTGAACAAATAAAGCTAACAAGAAAACATAAAATTAGACATGGCATTCTTTCACTAGTCATGTGCACTGCACTACAGGTGGCCCACCGGTTGCCTCAGGCGGCTGCCTGGATCGGTCCATTGGATCTAAAGCCACGACCCCTTCCACGATATCCACCCCTGCCACGGCCACGACCTACAACAAAATTTAATATAAAATTATTAAAAAAATTAAAAATAGCTAACTAAATTTTCTATTCCTCTTTTATCCGTCATTTGTTCCTGTTTTGAGTTCAAGATAAAAAAACATAAGCTACCGAACAACTTAAAGAAAGAAACTTCCCAAAGGTCCCGTGAGGTTACATTACTGTAACTATTCCATTGTGACTATTTGTCACATAATCAATCAGAAATACCCGACTTCAACTCATCCATAAACAATGGAAGCAAATTATTATATATAGCACATATCACGGACATAGGTTCAACAAAGGCAGCCAATAACAAGCTTAAACAAAGCATAAAGTATTGGGTGAAAATTCTCAAAATGGTGAATGGCACAACTGCACAAGGTAACAAAATGACAACTTCTCTCATCCCTATGAAGCTAAATTCAAAATAAGAACATATATCAGTCTTTAAGGGTGGTATGTGAAGCAAAATATAGATGATAAGGTTTAGGTAATATGAAACCATTCCAGACAGTGCCCAAGATCCATAAGACACAACCAGCTTAACCACTTCCAGAATATGAAGAGGATAAAAGCGAATAGCCTAATACTGGTAGACAACACACTTGCATCTAACCGATAGAATAGAAAAAAGGCAATAGGGAACAAGTACCACGGCCTTGAGGTATATCTTGGTTGTATCCTCCATCTTGCTGCATATCAACATGGGGCCCATTATACCCACCCCTTCCACGACCTCGAAAGCCACGTCCTCTTCCTCTACCCCTGCCCCTAACACTTCCCCTACTACGATCCCAACCTCCATCCTCATAATCAGCTGAAATAAAACCATTCCCTGAAATAAAATACATCAACCATGTCAAAAACTAGCACATTCATTCTTCAACCCTTCATTAGGGTTTAGAAAACCTACTAACAAGATTTTTTATTTTAAAAGATGATTTGTCAATGTTTAACATGACAAATGGCTTGTTGACATTGTTAAGTATCCCCTATTAAAAAAGATCATAAATCTAAAATTCTCAAACATGACCCATAACATCTAAGGCAATAGCTTCAATAGAATTGCAACGTAATGATGAGAAAATACATACTGGACTAGGTAAAACAACTCCGTCAATCACAGATAATCTACCCTGGAGACAACAAACACCTAATAAACATGTTCATAGGAACAAAAGAATGCACACAACACACGTACCTCTGGCCCTTCCCCTGCCTCGGCCGCCACGGCCCCGAACACGGCCATTGGGTGAACCCTCTGCAGAACAGAAAGGTTAAAACAGATATAAATAATTGAGGGGAGTGAAAACAGATCAAGTGTTAAGTGTACCCACCTCCTTCATAATCAAAATCTGCAGAAGCCTTCACCTGATCAGCTGGTAATGGTGGTTGATACCTAAAGGAAACAAGAAATTAAAGATTTCATAAGATTCACTTTTTAATTAATACGTAAAATCTTGAAACCTGCTAAAGAAATGTATACAATCAGAAAGTGCAGATACTCTCTAATTTCTTATCCCCCATACCAGAGTTTCTTTTATTTTCTCTACTTGAGTTTAGCTTTTATCATCACTATCTCCAACAATCATGACATAATTATTTACGGTTTTCACATCAGTATCCAATTTGAAATAATACAAAATGCATATTTTCTATAAAAGAGTAATTATAGACCCATTTGTTTCAGATTATTTCCAACAAAAAAAGTGCTTTATGATTAAAAGACAACTTATTTCAGTTTACTGAAAGCAGTACTTTGAATATTCATTTTAATGGATGAAACCACCCTGCATGCAGCATATGTCTGAGAAACAAAACTAGGAACCATCATAGAAAGCACCACTAAGAAATTGTTCAGCATATATCCACCCTAACTCCACCTTGTGAGTCAGATATTATTAATATTGCGTGATTGCATCAGAAAGAAAGCCAGCTTACCCCACAGATGATGTATCAAGTTCCTTCTTGGAAAGGGTTATTGTTATCATTGACACATGCCTTGTTGTTTCCAAACTACAAGAAAAAATAAAGTGTAAAGCCTAAGCACTAGCATCCACTGATTGAAATGTTAAGCACTTAAGCCATTCAGGTTTAAAATAATATTATTCAGAAACTGCTCTTACGGAAGGAGGCCTTCCTCTAGTGGCTCCCAAGTATCAGTGATGTCAGTGGATCCAATAGCTGTAATCTGGTGGAGACCCACTATTCTCCTCTGCATTAACTCCAAGAAATACACAAAGTAAAATCCTCATCAGAATGAAACATGATACCAAGATTATGTTGTCAGCTCAGCTAATCATAGAAGCAAACGAACCTTGATCAACTCCACAATTGTTACGGTTTTGTTGATAGCTCTCCCCATTGCTTTGAAAACAATTTCATTAGAACCTTTTTCCTGTGAAGAAGCAAGCAAGATTGCATGAGCTTACAGATTAGCACTGAAAATTGAGAATCTATATCTTCAAAATTCAGGAAATAAAAACTCTTGAGACAAACTTCTCACTGCTTCACTTTTCTCAAAGCACCCAGTAAAGGCTAAAGACAGACAGTAACGGAAGATACACTGCTCCCCTAGTTTGGGAATTTCATGGTGGAAAGAGCAGGAGTGAAAAACAACCCCTCCCCCCTTCAATCCAAACAATTGAAAAAGGGGAGAGATGGGGAAAGGAAGAAAGGACCTCTCACAACTCACATGCTTTAAATTATATTTCAAGAACCTTATCTTAAACATCAATTATTATTGGTATCTTTGTGATAATAAGTTTATTAGTTACCTTTGTTCTTTATTTAAAAGGAAAAAAAGTACAACCAAAGTAGGGTAAGGTATGCCACCTACCACACTCTCGTCCCTCCCCATTCCCTCCAAAATCCAAAACATGCAAAATTTCACATAACCAAATGCAAAGAGGAAGAACAAAAAGGAAAAAAAAAAAAAAGAGGTCGGGGTGTTGGTCATGTTCAGAGTTTAAGAGTTCAAGCATAATATAATAATTAATAACCACAGCACTCGAGTTAAAACAAAGGCATTCAAAGTCTCCCAGCTCAGTAAGTCTTCATAAAACCTCACCCCAAATTTGGCTTAAAAGAAAAAGAGAGAGTACCTGAAGCAAGCTCATGGCGTAAGTAATGTAGTTGCGCATCCTTCCCTGACTAGTAATCCGGATCTCGTTTTCATCGATTGGAGTTTCGGCTCTTGGTTTCTCCACCTTCTGGTACCGATCCATCTAAGCCACCAAACACACCACAACACCGTGTAAGCAGAAACGTAGCCACAGAACCGAATAAAATTAACTGGAAGAGGAAAAAAGAAAAAAGAAGGAGAGCTTGGAAGAGAAGAGTTAAGGAAGTAGGAGAAGATTTGATCTGAGACTTACAGCGATTGCAAAGGATAGAGTTTCCTTTCCGAACACAAAGAGCGAGCCCTCTTCTACGGCTTGTATTTTCTATTGCGCCCTAACCCCATTGCTGCGATGTGTTTCACTTTATATACCCCCTAACACCCGACACCCTCTCCTCTCCAAACTACCCTAACCAACTCCTTTTCCCAGTCCACTCTCCTCTCAACACCTCATACCCAAACTCCCCACTCACTGGGCCTGGGCTCGGCCCAGTCTTTCCTTGGCCTATCACCCCTCTCATTTTATCGATATTTCTTTTCTCAGATTTCGCTCAATAATTCAAAAAATCTCGTTTCAAACCAAAATCTTTCTTAGTACAAAAAATGCGGTAGCTTTTAGGTGAATTACTAAATTGTTGTTGTTAATAGATTGAGTTTAAGATTAGTAAATAATCAAGACATTAGAGTGCAGAATGATAATTATTGTTAAATGTTGATCCATTATAACTTATTTGTAATTTAATCTTTAACACTAAAATAAGTTATAGATTATCAACGATTAAAGGATAAGTTTATTGTCAAAGAAATACATAATATAAACTTAATTATGTACATATATATCTCATAGCTATAGTAAAATAATAATGCAGAAAAGTATATCTCTTCATAAAATAATTAAAAATAAGAAATAAAAGAAAAAGATGAAAGTCTGATAAAAATTTAAATGAAATAAACACGTTATGATAATTAAAGATAATAACAATAATAATAATTTAATATCACATATTAGTTTTATTTTCTAATTTTTTATAAAAGAAGTAAAATATTTAAAAATAAAAATCATGGAAAATATTATTTTAAAACCAACTTTAACATTATTTTCATATATTATTTTGTATAATAAATATTAGATGGAGACAAAATTAATATTAAGTAAATGGTAATGATATTTTGATTATTTAAATAAGTTTATTTAAATAGTTTTAACATATTGTTTAATAAGTAAGTAATATTAATCTATTATGTGATTATTAAATTTCAGTTGTGAATTTTTCAAATAATGAAAAAAAAATTACTTTAGTTCTAAAGTGCCACCCTTCCTATATAGTATGGTATTTTGACATATGATATCTAGCTTTATCCAAAAAACTAAAAAATAATTATTATTTTGTAAGACTATAACAAAAACTACTGAACTTCTAATTTTTTTTTATATAAATATCCTTAATTAATTATTTTTATTTATTACTTTTAAAATTAACTTTATGTTAAACAATAAAACTTTATTCTTTGCGATTATTTTTTACCGATCTAAAAAATTGTCACAAATACATTATTACTAATAAATATGCACAGGCATTGCATGAATTTTTAATTAAAATAAAAAATTAAATTAATTTTATAATATAAAATAATTTTAAATAATTATTTATCAATTAATAATAATAGAACTAATAAAATATTATATCTTAAAAATATTAATAAATAAATAAGTACATTTTTAATTTTTTATATATACCAGTAATTATTTTTAAGATAAATTATAATAAATAAGTATCATACAATAATAATTATAATAATTTTTTAAAAAAAATAAATAAATATCAACAGACCTAGATATTAATATTATTACATGAAAAAATTTCTGAAATTAATTAAAAAATTTAATAATAATGTTAACAAATATTACATTTACTATCTAAAAAGTATACTATTTTTTAAAATTATGAAGAATAAATTAATTTATAAAAATATGACATATAATAAATAAATAATAATATAATATATTTTATATTCTTTAGTTTTAATTATTTATTAATAAATAAAAGTAAATAAATTTAAAAAACTAGATTAAAAAAATATGTTAATTCTGTAAAATATAGATAAAGAAAATAATTTTTTATTGTTGTCATAATTTTATTAAAATAATAATAATAATAATGATAATAATAATAATTTTAGTATAAATACATAAAAAATTATATGATAATATCTGTAAATTAAAATATATTATTTTTTATCGTTATATAACTAAATTTGTTTTAAAAATATATCATATGTATTTGGACAGTACTCTAAAAATAAAATATGTATAATTTAGTATTTTTTAGAATTAATTAAATTAATTTATAATATTTAATAAACTAAAAAATTATTTATGATAAAATTAAAAAATTAATTTTAAATAGCACCAAAATTTTATCAAAAATTTTATTTTTAAAATTGTTTTATGATTTTAGAAAACTATTTGTCATTATAAAATTTAAAAATGAATAATCATAATATAAATTTTTTTAATATAAATTTTTTTAATATAAATTACAAAATTTAAATAAAATATTTCATAATTTTTTTGCTTATGCATTTGTATATATATGTTCAACTAGATTTATATGATTCATCTTTTATTTATAATTATAATTTAAAATTGCTAATAAAAGTTTTATTATGTAACTATTAAAAGATAATATAATATTTTTTTTAAAATTAAATCATCAGACTAATAATAATAATAATTTAAATAAAAGCAAAAAATACAGTAATTAAGTTAAAATAAAAATAAAAAATATATTTATTTAATTAATGTATGAAATTTTAAAATTATAATTTTAATATAAATATATAGAAAATTATATGTTAATACTTAAAAATAAAAATATGTTGATTTTTTATATAAATAAAATTAGTATACAAAATATTATAAATAAAAACTAATAATAATGTAATATATATTTTTAATTTATAAATTTAATTATTAATAAAAAAATATAGAATTGAGTTTTTCTAAAATATTAAATTATTCTATATTGTTTGATAACTTAATAAAATTAATATTTTTAATTAACATTATAAATAAATTAATTTTTAAAAAACTAATTAAGTATAACAGAGTTATACGCATCCCAAGAAAGATAAATTGACAGCAAAGAATTTTTTTTTTTAAATGATAGCAAGTTCTACATTTGGGAATATCGATATTTTTAAAGTGAGAGTAGATAGTCTGCTGAGAAGATACATTCCACAACATGAACAGGCTGATATCTTGTGGCATTACCATAATTCAAAATATAGAGGTCATCGTGGAAGCTCAAGAACTGTTGTCAAGGTCTTACAAATAGACTTTTTTTTGCCTACACTCTTTGAGGATGCAAAAACTTATGTGGAGAGTTGTGATAAGTGTCAAAGGACAGGCAACATAACTAGAAGGCATGAGCTGCCTTTGATAAACATTTTAGAAGTAGAGTTATTTGATGTATGGGGAATAGATTTTATGGGACCTTTTCCCATGTCTTTTCCTATGAATATATCATTGTGGCAGTGGATTATGTTTCTAAATGTGTGGAAGTCATTCCAACCAGAACTAATGAAGCCAAGGTGGTGATTTCTTTCATAAAGAAGAACATATTTGCTAGATTTAGTATACCAAGAATTCTGATATGTGATGGAGGTGCACATTTTTGTAACAAGTACTTTGAATCTGTTTTAGCAAAATATGGAGTGAAACATAGGGTGACAATTCCCTATCAGCCTCAAACAAGTGAGCTTATTGAGATTTCAAACAGAGAAATAAAGCAAATTTTAGAAAAAGTGGTCAATAATTCAAGAAAGGACTGGTTAAGGAAATTGAATGATTCTTTATGGGCCTACAAACTGCATTCAAAACACAAATTGGTATGTCTTCATACCAATTAGTGTTTGAAAAGGCATGTCACCCGCCTGTTAAGTTAGAGCACAAGGCTTATTGGGCTACCGAGTGGTTAAATTTTGACTTGACCGGTGCTGGAGAAAAGAGAGTACTTCAACTGCATGAATTAGAGGAATTTAGGCAAACTACCTATTAAAATGCAAGACTGTATAAAGAGAAAACTAAAATGAATTCATGATAAATTTATTCTGCAAAAAGAACTTAAACCAGGACAACTAGTTGTATTGTTCAATTCAAGATTGAAACTATTTCTAGGGAAGCTCAAATCAAGATGGTCAGGACCTTTTCTAGTGAATAATGTATCTCCTTTTGGTGCAATTTTAATTGAAGATCACAGGAAGAGAATTCAAAGTTAATGGCCAAAGACTCAAGATTTATCATTGAGAAGCATTCAACAAAAACATCTCTTGCATAAACATATGTCCATTTGAAGTTGACACACGCACTGCACCACTCATAAACGATTTTTAAGTGTTAACTCCATTCATCTAAAGTGAACATGCACAAACTTTAATTCATTAAACTACTCCAGCATGTTCACATCTTTCATATAAAGTGCTCACATGCTCCGCGTAGCTATTTAAAATGTTTAAAGTGAAAACGCAAAGCACCCAAAATCCTAAGAACTCAAATTTTCTTAAAATCCTACCTCTGAAATAGTTTTCGTTATTCATCATTGTCCTTGTACTTGCTGATTAATTACAATTCACTCATTTGCGGGTAGGATTACACATTTTCTACACTTCAATTCCAGGTAATTCTTCCTCTGATTTCACAATTTCTGATTATGGTTCATGAGAGGAAAAAATTGGGAAAAATTTGTGAATCTGAATTGAGAGTTTATTCTGTGAAATTATTGATTTAGATATGTAATTGAAGGATAATAGGGTTGATTCCATGCTGAAATTCTTGTTTTTAATTGAAATTCGACACTAAATTAGGGCTTTTTCTATGTACATGTTGTTGTGTTAAGTGGTATAAACATAAGGCTTTTTCTTAGAGAATTTTAATGTGATTTGGCTGCATTGTGATGATAGATAATAATGTGAATACATGGCAACCACGTCGTAATAGTTTCAAACAAAATTAGATTTCTCAAATAATTTTTTAACATAGAGAGCAAACTTAGGTTATCTCACAAGAACACAAATCCATTTTATTTCCAGTTTTAAGCATGCAATAGTAGTTAATTGAGAGTTTTGTGGTTTTTGAGAATTCAAACATAAACATAAAATTGGCAACAACGAATTGAACTAAACCCAGAAAATGCAGAAATCAAATTAAACCCAGAATTAAATAAAGAATGAAAGCAATTAAAACGTGTGCAAATCAAAACGAATGAATGCGATTATAACGAACACACAGATTAAAAACAATTAAAATGAACACAAATTGAACCTAAAAATTGAGACAAATTAAAGGCAAAACAAAAGTAATTTAAAACAAAAGT